AGTATTATAATATTAAAAAATATATTTTCGAAAATTAATAATATTATTTTTATAATATTTTATTTCAAGAGAATAGTAAAAAAAAAAAATCAACGTGGTAGAGAAAATCCGTGTGAGTGAAAGAGAGAACGCCAATGGTGATAAAAACGGTCCCGTTAAATTAAAATGAAAACTGAATTGGGTGGGGGAAAGAGAGGGGATATTAAATAATAATATCCGGAAATGGAAGTGGAATTTGATTCAATCTAGGCGTAATTTTATCTCAGAAAGGGTTGAATAAAATATATTCACATATTCGTAACAGGAGCGCAGACTATGGTAGAAGGTCGATCGTTGTAGCAGGTATCGTTTCATGTATCTGATACTTCTGTATCTCTATACAGTAAACACAATTTTTTTTAGATTTCGATTTTATTACGTTTTAAAATTTTTTTTTTTTATAAAATACATTGAGAACAATTTAAGTTTATTGTTTTTTAATATATTTTATATTTAATAGTTTGTTTATTAGTGTAAAATATGGTATTTTAAAAACATTTGCCTTAGGTGTATATAAAATAACATTTTAATAATAATAATAAAATAGTAATATACTTTTAATAATTTAATTATTAATTATAATAATAATAGAAAAAATGTTGTTTTGGAAAAAATGATTTTTTTTAACTTTTAATTATCGCATAACAAAATTTGTCATATTTGCTATAGAAGAACAGATTTTGTTTTAAATCGCATTTCAGAAAATTTTTTAAAATAAAATAGTTTACCTCGTTTATTTATTTTTATAATTAAAATCCATTTATTATTTAAAAAAAAAAATGTATTATGAAAAGAAAAATTGCATTTATGATTTTCGCGATAAAAATGCATTTTGAGTGTTTGCGATTTATTTTGTATATTCAAAAGTACCGGAGAAAAATGATAATTTTACTTTTAACATTTGAATGGCGTTGAATGTATAAATAAGTACTTTCGAGTCCTAAAGGAAGGGATTAAGGTTCTGGAGCAGGAAGACCTCCTTTCTCCTGATGTGAGCCTGAACATTGTCACCCACAGTGTAATTAATATTCATATGTATGTACCTACCATGCGTATGATCTACAACTGAAAGGGTTAAAACTGTGTACATACTGTTTTTTTTCGCTGCGTTAGTGAATTAGCTTTGTCTTTGTAAAAATGTAAATATATTGTCCATATTGTGCAAGGAATCTACTTACATCAGGGCTGTGTTTATAAATTTTTTGGCCCTGTATTTATATTCTTTTTCTCGTTTATTATATAATTTTCACTATATGAGATAAAATATTTCTAATATCGATAATAATTTGGAGTGATTTTAATTTAATGTAAAAAAAAAAAAAATTAAAATTAAAAATATTTTAAAAATATTTTCTATAAATTGTTTTAGAAAATTTTGTTTTTATAATAAAATTTTCGTCTTTTTTGTTATTTTTTTTTTGGTTTGGGAAAAAAAGATGATTGAGGTTATGTTTTAATATTATTCCTAGGTGTGCAAAATTTCAGCAATTGCGACAATAATGTGGCATTTCGAAAATTTTTAAATTTTATTTGTTTGGAAATTATTGTTATAGTTAATTCTAATTTTTTGTTTAAGTATATAAAAAACTAAATAAAAATCTTAAATAAATTTTAATTAATTAAAAAAGACGTTGTTACACTCAAAATTCTTCGTCCGTGTAATAAATACAGATTAATTTTTCTTTTTGCAGATTCTAACCTCCATGGCTTTTGGGTGTCTTCAAGGACAAAGGAAAAAAAATAGGGTATCTTGAAGTACACGCAGGATTCACAGGATTCTCCATATTGATGTGAGTTTTTTTTCAATTTTTATCTATTATATTTTTTAAATAAGAAACAAAATATTTTTATTCAGAAGAATTTTTTCGTAGCAAATTTTTATTTGGTAAAATTTTATTTATTTATTTATTATTACCCGAGTAGAAATCCCCAAGGTATGCCTAAAATGATAATTGGCCCTAAGCTGGTCCTAACTTGGCAGAAAATGTTAATATTTCCTAATTTGATCCTAACTTGGTCCTGCTTTTACAAGCCATTTTAGTAATATCGGAGTATTTTGGCATTATTAATTATAATTAATAATAATAATAATATTATGATTATAATATAATTATAATAATAAAATAAGAATAAAATAATAAAAAATAAATGTATAAATACAATAATAAAAATAAAAAAATAAAAATATACCATAGTTTTTTAAAAATTTTAATTAATTATTATATTATTATTATTTTTTTTGTTTATTTATTTATATTATTATTATTATTACTATTATTTATTATTATTGTTATTATTATTATTATTTATTATTATTGTTAATTATTTTTACTTATTATTTATTTATAATTCATAAAAATGAATTAAAAATTCAAAAAATTTTTAATCATTTTACATTTTTGAAAATGTGAAAATAAACGGGACACATAAGTTTAGCAAGCAGGTGAAAAAAAAAACTCGATTTCATTCATATAATTTCTAGCCATTCCTTTTATATTCACTTCTCAAGGGAACCCTTTGAACCCAAATGGGGCATAACGATATCAGGAGAGTAGAAGCGATAAAACGTAGATTATTGGATGACATACAAATGTGGTAGGATAGCATATTGTATGAATTAGGTCAACAAGGGTCGTTTTAGCGAATATTATATATCTTTTTTTTGACATTTCATAATATACATATATGTGTATATAGATAGATGTCAATAGACTAATTCAATTTAGAATTCAATTTAGAAACTAATTTTTTCTCTTTAAAACGTCAATTATTATAGAATTCTTCAAGGGGGAAAAATTAATTTTTTTTTTTTCAAAGGATTATGTATAATAAAGTGAAATTTAGGATTATTTATGGTGATTGTATTCATAATAATGAAGATCGCTGACTCTGGAGAATACAAGAGTAAACAACTGGAACAGGTGGGCATAGAGAGTTAGGAGGTCGATTGGAATCCCTCTCGCTAAACTTGCCGAATTGGGGGTGAGAGGAAATGGAGATGCGAGGGTGGAATGATTTCTATCTAGGGGCGTTTCCCCCGATTTGATACCTCTGGGGGAAGGGTGATTTAAAGTATTTCCTGGGATGTTCTTTTCTTCTTTAAAGCTCCATTTGTATATATATTCATTTCACAATAGGTCGCAGAATTACTTCTATATACTTCTTTGATTATACAAATATTTTTTTTTGTTATTTATTATTTAATATTTATTTATTATTTATTCACATTCAATTTTAGAGGAGAATTTAATTTCTTTATTTTTTTCAAGTAATTAGTAAAATAATTAAATTTGTCTCATATCGAGTATAGAACTATTTCGCTAAATGGATCGATTTACCTCTTTTGCGATTGAATATTCCCTTAAAATTATAGTGTGGTATCAACCCTATTTTTTTTTTTTTGAGTTTTTCTTTATAGTCTAAATGGAAATATTTCGTATTAGTATATTTATTCGATATTTAAAAAAAAAATAATTTAATTTTTTTTTTTGTCGAGTTGAAGAAAATTTCAGTATAGAGGAATATGTATGCGTATATGTAAAGAAAGGGTCGTGTAAATTGCTGTCAGTTTAATGGATTTGAATAGTTGAAAATAGTTGATGATGATAAAAATTGATTTTGATGAGTGTTAAGGATATTGATAAGGACTTTTTAAATAATTGAGAGATTCCGCACCGCCTCTTCACGACGTGGTTACGCCCCAGTTCGGGCCTGCCCTCCGTTCGACACCGCCCCCGTTCGAAGAATAGGAATACAGAAACCTCAAGGAATTCTTCATCCACAATTTTCTTCCGCGAGTTCCATTGTCCACGAGGTCTCTCTCTCTCCACCCTTTGCATTTATATATTCTTTCGCTTCGCTAAATCCTTCATTATTCGTTTCCCCTTTTGTTTCTTTGACACGCTTTTATTTAGTGGAATTTTGAAATAAAACGTTTTTTTTTACTTTTGAATGCAGTAAAAATAAATTGCAGTCTGATAAAAATTTTTTTATAATTTTTATTATAAAAAGTAAACCCTCTGTGAGAGTTTATTATTGTTGGGTTTTAGTAGAAAAAGATAGTTTCGGTCTGACGAATTGTAATTTTTGACAATAGTAGTAAAAAATAGTTTTAGTCAGACGAATTGTAATTTTTAGTACTAGTAGTAAAAGATAGTTTCGGTCAGACGAATTGTAATTTTTGGCACTAGTACACTCAGAGAAATGGTATATTTATCTCCGAGCCTACTAACTCATTTATTTGTTGCAAATATATTTTATTTCATTGAAACAAAAAATTTATTTGAGCCAAAGAAAAATTTATTTCTGCCAAAAAAAATTTTTATTTACGCCAAATAAATAAGTTAGTAGGCTCTGAGACAAATATACGTTTATTTAACTCAAATATATTTTATTTGGTTCAAATAAATCATTTCTCTGGGTGTAGTAAAAGATAGTTTCGGTCAGACGAATTGTAATTTTTGTCACTAGTAGTAAAAGATAGTTTCGGTCAGACTAATTGTAATTTTTGGTACTAGTAGTAAAAGATAGTTTCGCTCAGACGAATTGTAATTTTTGGTACTAGTAGTAAAATATAGTTTTAGTCAGACGAATTGTAATTTTTGGCGCTAGTAGTAAAAGATAGTATCGGTCAGACTAATTGTAATTTTTGGCACTAGTAGTAAAAGATAGTTTCGGTCAGACGAATTGTAATTTTTGGTACTAGTAGTAAAATATAGTTTCGGTCAGACGAATTGTAATTTTTGTCACTAGTAGTAAAAGATAATTTTAGTTAGACGAATTGCAATTTTTGTCACTAGTAGTAAATGATAGTTTTAGTCAGACCGAATTGTAATTTTTGAAACTAGTAGTAAAAGATAGTTTCGGCCAGGCAAGACTATTTTTATTTTTCTATATGATCAAAAGCTAATTTTGTAATAAAAAAAGATAAAATGTAAATATTTGACAAAAAAGGATATAAATTAATATTCGAAATTTAGGATTTTAATTAAATTATAATTAAGTTTATAATTATGAAATTAAATTTTCCAGTGTAAATGTATAGAATTTAGGAATATTGACTGTAGTTGAAAACCTTGATTGTTCTTGTCTTGAGTTTTGTGTCAAAATCGTTATAACTCTCTTCTTGAAAAGGAAACCAGACATTTGATAATCCCCACACGTGTTTTTGTGAATCTGCCGCATAGTGAGTGATGTAGGGTACATCTTCAGTTTGGAGAAGAACGAGATGATTCTCGGCCTAAAAAAAAGCCGAAATTTAATTAATAGGAAAATTAATAGTATAATTTTCGAGATAATTTAGACAAAATATTTTTTTATTATTTTTTGTATTATTTTTTATTATTAATTATTATTAATTTAAATATTTTTAATTGTATAATATTTAAATAGCAAGAAAGTGACAAATAACCGTTAATTCCAAATTAGAGTCCCAACGAACGCTTGCTTTATCATTTATCATAAAATAGTGAAGTCCTTGTTTTTTATCACAAAATAATCCTGATGATGAACCAAGTTTTTTCCCGTGCCAGGAAATATTTGCTGATTTAATTATTTTCTGCAAAAAACAAATTTATTTCAAATTAGTTAAAAAAATTTATAATTAATAATAAATAATATGAATAATTAATAATAATTATTGTTAACAGTTAAATAATAATTATTATTAATAGTTAAACAATAATAATTATCAATAGTTGAACAATAATTATTATTAATATTTAAAAATAATAATAATTATTAATAATTAAATAATAATAATTAAAAATGAATAAATAATGAGTAATAAATCTTAATATACCTCCGTTGATTCTTCCATTTCTTGAAGATCTTCTAAATTGAGACTAAAAAGATCATGACTGGGATAGCCGGTAAAATATAGAAGTGAACTTTTACAACAAATTGCTAAATCGGAACTGTATACTTTTGGTATATATGAATCGTGTTCCAATTTAATTCTCCACCATCGTTGATGTTCTAAAAATATAATTTTTAATTAGTGATAAATTTTATAATTTATTATATTTATAATATAATATTTTATAATTTTTTATACTTTCAATATTAGTAATTTTGCTTCAATTTTTCTAGTCGTTTCAATTTTTTTTAAAATTTTTAATTTTATTTTATATACCTAGACTGTATACAATGATAGATTCATCTCCAGGGTCCCCAATGTAAGCCCTTGTGTCATAGGAGTCAGTATAAGTGACAAGGGATCTTAAATTTGCAGTAGAGACGTTCGATAATTCTATTCTTTTAAGCTATAATAATTTATTTATTATAATGATGCTACTCTATCTAAATCTGAATTAGTAAAAATGTTTACTTTAAACTAGTGACTCACTTTTTGCTTTTAAATTAGTTAAATTTTACTAATTGTTAGTAAAAGTTACTAATAATTAGTAAAATTTTACTAATTGAGAAGCAAAAAGTGAGTCACTAATGTAAACTTTTTTTACTAATTCAGATTTAAAGAGTATAGAAAATTTAGATTTTATTTTTGAGGATTTTGGAAAAAACTATAATCCTTAAAAATCAAGAAATTTTATTAATTTCACAATAATACCTCTTGATTGTTCCTTAATAAGTGATAAATAATTATTTTTGGCGAACATCTTTTTTCTGTTGGTACATCTAAAACCCATAGACGTCCTTTTGAGTCGATATCTAATGCTACCACGCATCGAAGAGATCGAAAACAATTATCAATATTCGATTGAGAATTCGAATTAGGAAAAGGTCGTAAAGCAAAATTTCTTTCATCTTCACTTATTTCTGGCCAAGGTGCTTCCACTAGTGTATATCGTTTATTTTTTATGTCGTTTTTTCGTCTGCAATTATAATAAAATGTTTCAAAAAAAAATTTATTATAAAAATTTTATTTGCGCTAAATAAAATTTTATTTGTGTTAAATAAATATTTTTTTTATTGAAAACAAAAAAATGATTAGACTCTGAAACTGATTTTTTAGTTAACTTGAAATAATTTACCTGGGAATAGCTAGAAAAGCTCTGTCCCTCCAAATAGTGAATCTCCAAATAAGAGCATCGTCGTCTAAATTCACTGAAGTTAAATTCCAAGATGATGATAATAATTCTGCATTAGAAAAAAATTGAATACAAAATAATAGAAAATACAATATCATATTATATATATTAATCATTTTCACTTTTTTTATCATATTTAAACTATACATATATATAACTAAATACACTTCTCACGCTGTCTAAGCTGACAATGAAAAATATTATATATAACTTTTGCTTGACATAACATTTGTCATGTCATCAAAAAATCTTTTTATTTGCACAAGTTCTTGTGGATATATAATGTTTCAAGCAAAAGTAACAGTACAGCAAAAATTATAACTATAAAATAATTCTAATTTAATATTATACGAATATATATTTCTCTATATACTTCAAACCGCGAATTTTTGTTTGGTAGAATTTTTATTTTCATTTATAATTTACAAGACTTTATTTAAAAGAATTTAAATTTAATCGAATCACAGAAAACTAAAAGGTATTAAAATAAGCTGCAACACTTCTTATTGCAGCTTATTTTAATACCTTTCAATTTTCTGTGATTTTAATTTAGTATGAATTCTCATTCAATCGAATATTTTATGTGATTTGAATTTCTAAATAACGAAAATTCCAATTTACAAAATTTTAATTTGTCCAAATTTTTATTTTTACGATTTTTTTTATTAATAGAATTTTTAAGACGCCGAATTTTCATTTGTCCGAAATTACATATGTACTCTCTAAATTTAAATCAGCGAATTGATCGAACAAACAATCGGCAGAAAGATTTCGGCGCAATTTTTAAAATTGATCAATTAGAAATTATCAAGAAATAATTCATGATTGGTTAATTTTAAAAATTGCCCCGAAATTTTTCGGTCAATTGTTTGTTCGATCGCATTTGTAATTTCGGACAAATGAAAATTTTGTGTCTTAAAAATTCTATCAATTAAAAATTTGTATATACAAATAAAATTTCGGACAAATAAAAACTCGGACAAATTAAGATTCGGTGAATTAGAATTTCTGTCATTCGCTTAAATTAAAATTCTTTTATATAAAACGTTATGCAAAATAAATTTTGTTAATTACTAATATTTTAAAATAAAAATTTGAATTATAATGATTTTTATGAGGTATTAATGCCCTCACAGAAAATTAAAAGGCATTAAAATAAGCTGCAACGCTTATTATTTTAATCCACTCTCTAAATCTGAATTAGTAAAAAAGTTTACTAATTTGAATTAGTGACTTACTTTTTGCTTCTCAATTAGTAAAATTTTACTAATTATTAGTAAAATTTTACTAATTCTAAAGCAAAAAAAGTGAGTCACTAATTTAAATTAGTAAACATTTTTACTAATTCAGATTTAGAGCACACAAAATTAAAAGTATCAAATTGATACCAAAAATATCAAATTGATAAAAATTTTTATATCAATTTGATATTTTTGGTATCAATTTGATACTTTTAAATTAGTGTGAGAGCAATTTTGCTTATTTTAATTCAAAAATGGATTAAAATAAGCAAAATTGGATTAAAATAATAAGCGTTACAGCTTATTTTAATGCCTTTTAATTTTCTGTGGCTCCTTATAAAAAAAAAATAAAATAAATATAAAATTAAATTTTAAAGAATAAATGAAAATAATTTGATAAAAATAATATAAACAAAAACTAAAATAAAATATTAATATAAAAAATTAGTATCAAATCCTATATATAGGACCAAATTCTAATCGAATTGAAGTATACAGAGAGCGTAGGGGAAAAAAAATAAAAGAAATTTCTTAAACTCGTTCAGTAGGTCAGCAGAAATCTGTGTTTTTCGCGCACGCAGCATCCAAATAATGAGACTTGTTCTGCGGAGTTGCGTCGGTTGTATATATAAATATATATATATGTATATCTTCTTGGTGAATTTCAATTGGTTTCCCAAGATGAGTAGGGTTTGGCCCACCCCTATATATATAGTTTCTCAATGGGTTGAGAAGGGGATGCTAAACACAGAACCCTAAAGACCCTCATTTGAGTTGGGGTGCGGAGGACATGCGTAAGAGATTCGTCGCGTGTGCTCTTTCGGTGCGTGAAACGATATTTCCCTTTTGACGAGGGTTGTCCTACATGTCCCCCGCGAGAATGGACCAGCCCGGGCGCGCGATTGGCTTTCTGCGCGCGGGGAAAACGTGTTTTGTTTAATATAGGCGAAAACATGAGACTATATACATTGATTGGATGACTATATATATATATAAAAGAGATGAGCAAAGGAAGATGATAGAGGTGGGGGGGGGGCCCAAGATTGACCTCAAAAAGGAGACAAGATAGAGAAGGGGTTGGGCATAGGGCAATTCGCGGAACACGTGTGGCCGAAAAGGGTGCGACCTCGCGGCACGGACAGCCCTCGGGGAAACCGCGCCCACGCATTTTCAACAGGAACACAGAAGACGGCAGGAGTCGCTTCATTTGGCCTTGGCCTTGAAAACGAGATATGCTGGAAGAAGGGGAGGGGGTGGGGGGGGGACCCTTCTCGAGGGCCGTGATTCACGGAGGGCTTCATTCCTGTGCCGACCCATCTGGGAATGGTCGTTCTCGCACACTTATATTGTATTTTAGTCCGGGTTCTTCGTTGACCGTATTTTCTGTCTGGTTTCATGCCGCGCGCGTGTAGTATGTCCGATATATATACAGGCAGCTTAAGAAAAAGGGGCGGAGAGAAACTGGTTTTTAACTGCACAGGCGGTCCCGTCTAATTGGGAATTATTTCTGGTATAATGCACAGCATCCTCTTGCGTTTACCTCTTCTTTTTTTTTTTTGATAAGATATGAGGGGCAGCGAAAGAAATTCGCGATTTTTTTTTTATTGGCGAGAAATGGAAATTTTGTAGGAAAAATGTTGAAATTTTATTTTTTTGAAATATTTGCATTCTTTGCTGGAATATTTGGAATATTTTTTTTTTAATAAATATTCATGGAATATTGCATAAAAATATTAGCAAATTGTGTTTAATGATAGTATTCGCGTAGTGTTTTATATGTTCCAATATTGTCATTCGAAAAATTTTTGGAGTTTTTCTTATATTCTGTAAATTGTAGTGATAATTCGTTTACTAATTAAAATTAATAAAAATTTCTACTAATTTTTAGTTATTTATTTTTACTCAAATTTTTAGTGAAAAACAAATATTACTAAATCGAATAATACTTTAGTAAATATTAATTGAAAATTTCTACTGATTTTTAGTTGTTTTTCTAAAATTTTAGTAAAGAATAAATATTACTAAATGGAATAGTAATATTAGTAATAGTAGTTAAAAATTTCTAATTTTTAGTTATTTTTTTACTACAACTTTAGTAAAGAATAAATATTACTTAATCAAATAGTAATATTTTACAAAACATTAGTGAAAATAACTAAAAATAATAAATTTTTACTAAATAAATAAAAAATTAGAATAAATTAGAATATTACTAAATTAAATAATAATATTTTACAAAACATTAGTAAAAATAACTAAAAATTATAAATTGTTACTAAATAAATAAAAAATTAGAATAAATTAGAAAATTACTAAATTAAATAATAATATTTTACAAACCATTAGTAAAAATAACTAAAAATGATAAATTGTTACTAAATAAATAAAAAATTAGAATAAATTAGAAAATTACTAAATTAAATAATAATATTTTACAAAACATTAGTAAAAATAACTAAAAATTATAAATTTTTACTAATATTTTACTAAAAATTAGTGAAAATTTGGAACAACTTAAAGAATGAATATTACTAACACAGAAAATTAAAAGGCATTAAAATAAGTTGCAACGCTTATTATTTTAATCTAATTTTGCTTATTTTAATACCAAAATGGATTAAAATAAGCAAAATTGGATTAAAATAATAAGCGTTGCAGCTTATTTTAATGCCTTTTAATTTTCTGTGAAATCAAATAGTAATATTTTACAAAACATTAGTGAAAATAACTAAAAATTATAAATTTTTACTAAATAAATAAAAAATTAGAATAAATTAGAATATTACTAAATTAAATAATAATTTATTTTACAAAACATTAGTAAAAATAACTAAAAATTATAAAATTTTACTAAATAAATAAAAAATTAGAATAAATTAGAATATTACTAAATTAAATAATAATATTTTACAAAACATTAGTAAAAATAACTAAAAATTATAAATTTTTACTAATATTTTACTAAAAATTAGTAAAAATTTGGAACAACTTAAAGAATGAATATTAGTAAATCGAATAATAATATTTTACTAAACATTCGTAAAAATTTCTTCTAATTTTTAGTTTTTTTCTACTACAACTTTAGTAAAAAAAATATTACTTAATCAAATAGTAATATTTTACTAACAATTAGTGAAAATTTCTATTAATTACGATTATAGTGTTCGAATTTTCACTAATTTAAATTTAGAGAGTAGGAATATTCCTAATATTTCAATAGAAAATTCCAATATATTTTAAAAATATTATTATAATTATTATTATTATTATTATTATTATTATTATTATTACAATTATTATTTATACAATTATTATTATTACAATTATTATTATTACAATTATTATTATAATTTTTACTCCAATTTAACAAAACGGTTGTGAATTCAATAATATTTCCACATGAAATTGTTTAAAAAAATTACTATCATAACAATACTTAATTTAAATATTAAATTATTGAATATTTGCAAATTATTCAATAAAAATTAATTAATTAATTAAAGATTCTTTCTCATACGAGATATGAAATAATAAAAAAAATTTAAGAGGATATAGAAAAACATTTAATATTAAAAAAAAATATATAGAAATATAGTAAAAATAATTAAAATTAAAATATATATATATATATATATAAATAAAATTCAGATCTTTATCTTATATGTAGGAGTTTTATATAATATGAGAATTTGTTCTAATAAGACAAAAAGATCAATAAAAATAAATTTGAAGAATAATTATAAAATTTTGTGAAAAAATATGAAAATTGAAAAAAAAAATCTCGTTTAGATCTAATGCTCGTAAATGACTTTTTACTTCCTCTCTATCAATATGCAACTCTGGTTCGTAAAGTTTCCCGCGCAGTCACCTCTTTGCAACGCTTATTTTCCTGTTACGTCGATGTAATGGAGTTGTT